TTACTATCGCAGTCCTCATGTGGTGGTCGCCCCGGTGGTCTTGGTGGAGTAATAACTCGCGACTGCTGTTCGCGTGTCCGAATCACGCCGTGCCCCCCGCCGATTGGCCTGCAACCGCCGCTTCGGGGGGATACACATGTCAACGGACTTTTTGCTCGACGAAGGACGGAGAATCTCTCCTCCCCCCCCTCCCCCCCCGTAGTAGCCATTGCCATGCTGTCGGCACAGCAGCGAGGGAGGTTAGGACGGCCCAGCGAAAGCTTCTTGTGAATGAATGACGGGAGGACAATTCCAGGCTCTACCTGGAAAGATGGCACAAGCGATATCAAGTAGAGATGCTGGAAACGTGCTACGAAAGAGTGTAGTTCTCATTTATTGCATTGTTGCCTCTGGCGATATGCTCCGACGTGTCGCGCCCCTATCCATGATACTCACCTCCCCCCTCCCCACCCGCGACATCCACCATTCTTGTGTGCTGTCAGGCTGTCGGCACAGGTCATCCCCGGGGGTTTCATGGCTGTCGACAGCTTCTTCCTTATGTCTGGCTTCCTTCTGAGCAGCGTGCTCCTCCCTAAGCTCGAAAACGGCTCCCTCACCGGCAGTGTGGGCAGCGGTGGCATGGGTAAGGGATGGATGATGAAGGCGTACATCCACCGGTACCTTCGGCTGACGCCGACGCTCCTGTTCGTGACCCTCATGTTCTGGAAGGTGCTGCCTCTTCTCGGCGACGGCGCCAGCTGGTGGCCCGTCGCTCACGCTCAGGCGGAATCTTGCCGAAAGTGAGAGGAAATGTTGATGTAAAAGATTTTTTTTCGTGTTCTACCCGGCGGTGCCTTGTCTTCTTTTTTGTATATACCGTATGTTGCATGCATATAAGAGAGATGTGAGCGGGCGTGTGTTGCTGTAGTTCTGTTGTGTCGTGATTTTGTTGTGTTTTACTTGTGTCGCGTCCAGAATCGAAAAATTCTCCGAAGCACTGCACTCATTGATCTCTGGAAAACCTGACGAGGCCGTGCTGGCTTGGTCCCCGAAGACACTCGTGATCGGCCGGCTTGTCTGACTTGTGATCCAGTTTTTGAGAATCAGCAAGCTGGCTGTGAGTTTTAATTGTCTGATGTGCATAGGGTGTTCCTATCCGGCGTCTATGCTCCCAACCTACAAGCCCTGGGAAAGTTTTCTGGATGTTGTGCTGGGAGGATATCAAGAAAGTCGTCAGAAGTTTAGAGAGTGCATCCACTCTGTTTAGTTCGGCTTTCAATAGATTTGAACGCGAGTAAATCTCGTCTAGAGTCTGCCACTAATGTATTTTTTTTCCCTCATTGCATGGGGGGGCGATATACAGTATTGCCTGGCTTTGCACGCTGCGGGAGGCTTTCTTCGATGGACTTGTGTCAGACGCAACAGCAGCAGTATGGCCTTGTTTGAATTTTTTGTTTCCGCCCCGGATGATTGATGTCGCGTCAAACATCATTACCGGCATGTCTCAAGGGAGAGAGAGACGGAAGTCGCCTTGTTCGTTTTGTTTGAAATTGTTTTCCCTCTGTTGCGTTCACCCAGCAAGAATGAGCGGATTTGATTTTCTTGCTACACACGATAATTTTATCATGTGCAATCCATTGTTTCCCTGGTCAACGAGTATTCTACAGTATCTTGTGCTAGCCCGCCCGTTAGATGACGAATCCAATCTTCTTGCTGAACAGCGTCAGTCTTTTTTTTTCTTCTGCTTATTCGTACCGAATGGCTTTGGCAATCGCTCCACATCTCCACCTCTCTCCCGTGTGATTAAGCCCCTGACAAGTTGGGCGGATGAAGGGGACCTTGAGGCAATCACATCCTTTCTGTGGTGCATGGGGTCTGTCCCCTCATGAGAGCTGCTTCGGACATAAAAAGGCTTCCTGTCGATTGGCCCTAGGTTCTGGAAGATTCAATTTGTTTGACTTGATCAAGCACCGTACCCTCCCCCGTCCCCCTGAACAAAACCAAAGAACCATACGATAGCCGCGGAATGAATTGAACCTAAACCATCCTCGTTTGTCGTCCCCCTCCGCGACCGTCCGGATCAGGTACTGGTGGACGGAGATCGCATACGTCTCAAGCATTTACCCCTGGCCACCCCTGAGCGACGGCTGCACCGGCGTCAGCTGGTACCTTGCCGACGACACCATGTACTTCCTTCTCGGCGTGCCGACCGTGGCCCTCTACCACCGCCGCCCTCGCCTTAGCGCAACGCTCGTCTTCGTCGCGGCGGTCCTGAGCTGCGTGTTCACCTTCGTGTACTACGGGTTCTTCCAGCAGGTTAGCTTCTCGATCTTCACCCGGGTGGTGAACTCGGACGGTTGGGGCACCGTCTATGCCGTCCCGTGGTCCCGATGTTCGGTCTACCTCGTGGGCATGCTGTGCGGGATGGCGTGGCACACGCACTTCCGCGGCCGCGTCGGGTCTTCGGCCGCCGGCGGCGACGCCGGCGCGAACGGCAGCGCCGCCAACGGCAGCGGCAGCATCGCGGACGGAGACGCCACCGACACGACCGCCAAGAATCCCCTGGAGCGCCTCGCAAAGCCCGGGAAGTATGTCTACTGGCCCGCGGTGGTTGTGGCTCTGCTGTCGGCCGCACTGATGGGGCTGCCGGTGTACGGCACGTACTGGGACTACCAGGACGCCAAGAACCCAAGCCTGCCCCCGTGGGCGGACCACCTGTACCTGGCGTTCGGGCGGCCGACGTGGGCGCTCGGCCTGGCGCTCATGTGCATGCTCTGCTTCTGCGGGCATGGCGGGCTGGTGAACTGGCTGCTGACGCGGCCCGGGTGGACGAGCCTCTCGAGGCTGACCTACTGCACGTACCTGTTCCACACCCTTCTGCTGACGCTGCTGTACGGGACGCGCGACCAGCCCATCGAGCTGACGGGGCTCGAGTTCGCCGTGACCTACATGGGGATCGTGTTCGGGACGTTCCTGGGAGGCACCGGGCTGCACCTGCTGGTGGAAGCCCCCTTCCGCAACCTGGAGTCGATGGGCAGGAGACAGAAGAAGAAGCAGCTGCAGTCGAAGCACTAGGGGCCCAGTCTTGGCCGTGGGTGGCGGCGATGGTGGTGCTTGGGGGGAGGGGAAAGCCGTCGATGTGTGATGGGGTGGTCGGGGGGGGGGGGGGGGGGG